TTTAGAATTTCTATATCTTCTTCATTTAATTTTGGCAATTTGTATGTATCTAGGAATCTGTCCATTTCTTCTGTGCTTTCCATTTTATTAGAGTACAGGTTCTCAAAGTAAGAATTGATGATGCTTTGGAATCCTCCTGGATCTGTTGTGACTTCGCATTTTTCATTCTTGATTGCATGGATTTGAGCCTTTTCTTTCCTTTTTTTGATAAGGTTGGTTAAGGATTTATTAATTTTATTTATTCTTTCAAAAAACCAACTCTTTGATTCATTAATTTTTTGTATCATTCTCTTATACTCCATTGCATTGATTTCTGCTCTGATCTTTATAATTTCATCTCTTGTACGAACTTTGGGTTTGTTATGCTCTTGTTTTTCTAGGAGCTTGAGGTTCTGCATTAGGTTATTTAATTGAGTTCTCTCTGTTGTCCTAATATGGGCATTCACTGCTATGAATTTCCCTTTTAGAACTGCTTTCATTGTATCACATACATTCCTGTATGTTGTACTGGTATTATCATTTAGTTGTAGAAACTGTCTAATTTCTTCTTTAATTTCCTCTGTCACCCATTGGTTGCTCAGGAGGGTGTTATTTAATTTCCATGTGTTTGTGGGAGTTTTGCAATTTCTGATGTCATTGATCTCCAATTTTATTGCACTATGGTCTGAAAATATACAGGGGATAACTTCAATTCTTTTACATTTACTTAGACATGTTCTATGAGCTATCATGTAGTATATTTTAGAGAATGACAAGATGGGGTCATAATTTACAAAATAATTCTTAATTTTATTTTTAGCTATTCTATTTTCTTGCATGTCAATAACTATATTTCAACTATATCACTTTAAACAACTGCATGCTATTGCATCATATAGCTATATCATAATTTAGCAGTACTGAATGTTAAAGTTGTTTGCAACATTTAGTTAAGAAGGCTAAAAATATGTGCCAGTTAATCTTGACTGCACTAAGAGATTTCTGGAGAGGTGACTGGATTGTGAGGGCACTGACTTCACCAATGGGAGTTTATAACTGAATACACTATTAGGAGGTGGAGTCTAGTTGGAGGAAGTGAATCATGGGAGTGTGACCTTGAGTACTGTACTATATCTGGTCCTAGGGACCATGTATCCATGGTTCTTCCTCTTCTGTTTATGAGATGCCATGAGTTGAGCAGCTTTTCTTTTCCATGCTCTTCCACCATGATATTTCTGTCTGGGAGCCAGTGAACCATGGACTGAACCCTCAGAAACCATGAGCCTAAATAAATCTCTCCTCTTTTAAGTTACAAGTGTCAGATTTTTGTCCCAGCAACAGCAAAGCTGTTAGCAGACTTGTAGAAATTAGCAGACTTGAGGAAACAGAATCTGAATCCAGACCTCCAGTTCTGGAGGTAGGATGGGGTTCAGTGTGAATTTGTGCAGTGTATGAACCATAAAAGGGGCTGGAGGGGAACTAAGTTCACCACTGGAGGATAAGCATCTCTACAAAGGGTTTGGTAAGAAATAGAGATGGTAAAGATCTTGTATCATATGAAAAGAGGGTGGCACTTTCCAGTAAGAATGTGCAAGTCACAGGTAAAGAATCAATCAACAGGTGGTTATTAAAAGTCAAGTAAAATTAGTAGTAGATATCAGAGCCTCAGTCAACAATCTTGAATTGAGAGGAGACTTTCAGTGCCAGGAAGGGAGAACTTACTGGCAGCAGCAAGATGGACCACCCAACTTAGAGACAGTAAGTCAATAGGGGAGGTTCCTCAAACAGGGCAGATGAAGGAAAGTGACTGGGCTTCATGGTAAGGCTGGCTTGATACTAGATGCCAGAGTTTCACTTGCCCCAGAATCCAAGGTCTGGATGTTGTCTAGAGAAGGAAAGGCAGAGCCAGAGTATTCTGGCAAGGAGGAAGGAAAAAACTTTCTGATTAGAGATAGGAAGGTTAGTTTGAAAATGTGATGCACCTGGCATTAATGATGCTACCTGTGACAGCATAAGTGGCCTCTGATGGCACGCCTGGCCTCTGAGCAGCACATGGCTGCCTCTCCACTGGATGATATTCTCAACCAGCTAACTCGCAGGAAAAGGTATAATTTTACCTTTTTCTGAGCAGAACAGAGGAGAGGGTAGTGGGTATGTGTGAAAAGTAGCACACTTCCTTGTCCTTGCAGAGGTAGAACATAACTCCCTATTCCTTATGTGTGGCCTGCTTGTAGTGACTTCTTTCCAAAGAGTACAGCATGCAAAGGAAGAAAGAAGTAACTGCAGTGGAGAAGCCAATGCCAACAGCAATAAATCAGGTTGATCATATATACCTTTGAGTATGATGTGATGTGATCAAAACAGTACTTTACTTCTGTGATTTTACTGTTCCTTCAACCCATAGTTCCAGTCATGAGAAACATCAGACAGATTCCAATAAAAGGACATTCTACTAAATACTTGATCAGTATTGCTCAATTTTTTCAAGATCATCAGAAACCAGGAAGGTCTAAGAAACTTTGCAAGAAGAGTCTAGGGAGACATAATAACTAAATGTAATCTGGCCTTCTAGACTAGGTAAAAGATACTATGTAGAGGAAATTTGAATAAAGAATTGACAGTAGTGAAGTTGTGCTGAGTGCCAGTTCACGTGCAACTCGCCTGTGGTGTCTGTTGTTTGAGTGGTTGTGACCATCTTGTGAGAAGATCACCATGCCTTTGGCCAGAGTTTTACTACACCCTTCCTTGGAAGAGGAAAAGAAAAAACATAAAAAGAAACGTCTAGTTCAAAGTCCAAATTCTTACTTTATGGATGTAAAATGTCCAGGTTGCTACAAGATTACAATGGTTTTCAGCCATGTGCAGACAGTGGTTCTTTGTGTAGGTTGTTCAACAGTTCTGTGCCAGCCTACAGGAGGAAAGGCCAGATTCACAGAAGGTTGCTCATTTAGAAGAAAGCAACACTAATGATCTATACAACTTCCTGAATTTGTTTTTTACAGAAAGTCTTATCATAAATTCAGTAATTATAGTTAATCTACCAAGATAATGCAATTATGTTTGATTTTGTAAGGTGAAAAGCAATGATCTCCTATTTTGATGTCAGTTTTTCAATAAAGTTTTGATTACGGACAAATCTTTAAAAAAAAAGAATTGACAGTAGTAATAAAATATGTCAATATTAGTTCACTAATTGTGTTGTATATATTCAACTAATATAAGAGGATACTAAAAGGGGGAATGGTGCATGCTATATAAAAACTCTCTTTACTATCTTTGAAATTTTTTGTAACTCTGGAACTATTTTAAAATAAAGGCTATTATAGTAAATAAACAAATTTAAGAAATTTTAAAAAGTATCTCAGGAAAGGAAGAAGACCAGCAAGCTGGAGTGAGATGAGAATAGTGATAGGGAGAGGTGTGGGGATGGAACAGACGCTGTGCAAGTGTGTGAATGAGTTAGGAGGCTTGCCTGGGTGGTGGAAGTAAGACTTGTTAAAATAGTGGGTGTTTGAATGTAGCAACATTAGTGACAAAGATTTTCTGAAAGCATTTATAACATTGATATATTTATTTTATTAAGCTCATATCTTGGGGAGAAAGTGCCCCGTTTTGCTAACTTCTTGAAGTTGTAGAAACATACGGTAAAGTTATTATATTAAGAGTACATAAATGAGCAAGAAAAAGCTTCAGGACTGAAAAGATTCATTTGTATTGAGTGAAAAAAAGCTTATATCAATTTAATCTAGGACAGTGTTTACTGCTATTTAATCCTAAGAGTGACAAAATACCTCAGCTTGAATAATAGATCCAAGAACTGTATATAGTAGGAAGGTGTAGTGTATACAGAGTCCACCAAAACAATGTATACACTCTTCAACAGTTCACGATACTAATAAATGTCTGGAAGCTAATGGCCACCACTTTGAGCACTTCTTATAATTGTAGAGGCTTTGGCCATTAATCTCATGATGTCTCAATACATCCAATATTAAAATATTTATACAAATTTTTCTTTTCCTGATGTATACATTTTTTTGAGGACTTTGTATTTTTACCCTTATCAATTTAGTTTTGTCTTGTTTATATCTTTGTTTCTCGTGTATACTATAGATCAGAAAACTAGAATCTTATAATTCTTTCCCTCTCCTCTCTCTCTTCCTCTCTTCTTTCTTTGTGATGGTGATGTGACCATAGATAGAAATCTCCCAATCAGAACAAGAAAAGTAGAATTGGAAGGGATCTAAAATTTACACTTGTGATGACAAGAAAGGCTTTGAGCCCTTGCGATAACTTGGATAAGTGTCCCCAAAGGCCCATATGTTAAAAGCTTGGTTTTCATTTGTTGTTGGTGGAACCTTTAGGAGATGTGGCCTAATGGGAGGTCCTTAAGTTGTTGGGAGTGGGTCCTTAAAGGGAATTGTAGAATCTTGGCCTTGTCCCATCTTTTTCTACTTCCTGGTTCATATGTGAACAGACTGATCTACCATGTGTCCTGGCCATTGTCATCTGATTCTCTCCCCAGAGAACCAAAGCAATGGAGCCTCCTGATCTTGGACTGTGTCTTAGTTACTTTCTCATTGCTGAGACAAAATACCTGACTCCCACGTGTCTAAGGAGGAAGAATTTATTTTAGCTTATAGTTTTTAGAGGTTTCATTCCATAGTTGGCTGGCTCCAAGGCAGGGCAGCATGACAGAAGGGCATGGCAAAGGAGAAACAGTCCATGGCATGGTAGGCAGGAAACAAAGACTTTCTTCTTTTTTCCTTTTGATTCCATTCAGACTAAAAGTCTATTGGTTGGTGCCATCCACACCCATGGTGGGTCTTTCCTTTTAAGTAAGTTCACCAAGCACACCCAGAACTGCCAAACCAACCAGTGGACTAATCCAGTATCATAAACCCATGATCCAGGATCACTCACTCATGATCCAATCACCTCCCAAAAGGCCCACCCAAAATGTCTTTTTTGGGTTAAAATATCTAGATATAAGCCATAACAGACTGGAACTCTGGAATCATGAGGTAAATAAACCATTTCTCTTCATAAGTTAATCGCTATGGGTGTTTTATTGTAGTAACTAAAAGATCACCAATATAGATCGCTAATCTTTCTATATTACATGCAATCCTGTGGCATTAAACGCCATTCAGATGCTGCTTTCATCTCTAGCTCTGACTCTTCCTTGAAGGTTGAAAGCATAGATCTAACTGCCTATTTGCTTTTCCCATTGGGACACTACAAACATGCTCTCCCTCAGTCTTTTCCAGTTCAGTTAAGTGGGATCTGTGCTTATTCTCCATAGACCAGCCAAAGTACTTTCATTTTTTCTTAGAACTTAGAATGGTTCCTTTTTATTAATCAAATGTTCCTGTAGTGATTTTGTTTGTAGACTGTGTGAGAGGCCAAATTTAATCTTTATGGATATGCTTTACATACTTTATAAATTATTCTTTATTTATTCTTTATGATTATCCAATAGGATCGTTTAGTCTCTCTTCTCTATAGAAGAACAGTGCTTCTCTTTCTCTTATTATGGAGTGCCCTCTTATAATGATTTATTGTCTTCTTCCTTCCCAGATTTGTTAACATAATTGACAACTGGTGTATAACACAATGTTTTGTTGGAAGTATATATTTTGAAATGATTAATCACACTAATTAACATATCTATGACCTCATAATTTTTGTAAGAGCATTTAAGATCTTTTAGCAAATTTTAAGTATAAAATACATTATTAAAATGTTATTATTATTAAAGTAATCTTTCAAAAGACAAATTATACCATATCATTTTGCTGTTTAAAACTTTTCAGTGGCTTCCTCTACAATTAGAATGTAATAGAGTTCATGCTGCTGTAATACTTGCTTCTGAAAAGGGATTGTTAAAGAACAATTTGTGCATAATGTAGATTTCACATTTGCTTATTGTGAAAAACTAGATGAATTCAGAGACTGCACCTGGTGAACAAAGCAGGCTAGGAAGACAAAATGCACACACAAAATGCACGAGTATCTCCGCCAGCTACCTCAGTTCACTCTGAGCCACACTCATCTTCATCAGGTGTTACCACCTTTTATTAGGTTGTAGATGACCCTCTCGTGTCACATCACAATAATTCACAGCTTCACCCTTTGTAACACCTATCCTTTGGCTCATAATGCCTGGTCACACAGGCACATTCTCACCTCAGGTCTTTACAAGTTCTGTTCTTTCTGCTTGGGACTTATTGCTCTGGTTCTTGATTAGCTCCATTGCTTCTTTCAGGTTTCAAACTCAACTTCACATTCTCAGATTGGCCTTTCTCCACCACTTTATCCAAAGTCCAACCTTCAAATTCTCCCTGAAATATCTCTAACATAGCATCTGTTTATTCCTGTCATTACTCTTATCACAATTTGAAATTATCTGAAATATTTCCTTATTTCCTTTTTCTATTTACTAGAATGTGAGTTCTTAGAGGATATTTAGTCATATTCATAAACTTTAACAGAGCCTGGTACAAAGCAAATAATTTTTAAATTAATGAATGAATGGAAAATAATGAGTATTCCTCACCATCTTTTTTGCTTTATCATGGATACTTTTATAAATACTCACATATATTTGAGCAATAAAGTCATGTCTGAAATAAATCTTCATCTAAGCCTTCCCCTAAGAGAATTATAGCATTTTACTAAAGGAAATGAATGCTAGGAAAATGTGTCAAGAATTTTAATAGAAACCAACTCTGTATTGATGCTACTTTCAGAAGAACCAAAATGCCATTGCAGTCCACTAGTTGAAATGAGGCTTACAGATTTTGGCAAAGAGATGAATGGGGGTTTGGTCTAAGTTTGGGTCATCATAGGCTCAGCACATTTACTGACTTCTGTAGTCACTTCCTAGGTGACAAATGTATAATTTAAATCAACATATTTGCTATTGGAGAAATCATTATATTGGTTCTGTGATTCAGAAGTAAAGACATAATAGTAATTAGGACCAAGTAGATGTCCTTGAAATTTTCTCTCCCTCCTAGGATAACAAACCAAATCTGCATTTCTGGAGGGATTACAAAGATGTTTTGCCACTTCCAAGATTTTTAAAATGCAAGTATGGTGATACCAACCACAACCCTGTTTAATTTGCTCACTCAGAGTCTGTAGAAATGGGATGGATCTTGGAGAATTATCATGAGCTACTGTAAATATTGTAACTTTAGCTCCTTCTCAAGATGGGGTCCCTTTACTGGAGCAAGTCTACCTACATCGACCCTGGCGACTGGTGTGGAGTTACTGACCTGGAAAATGCTTTTTATCTATATTAATATAGACACCCACAAACATAGCTTGCTTTTGTATGTTAGGACCAACAACATACTTTTACAGTTCTAGCTCAGGGCTATGTAAGTTTTCTTGCTTTCTGTCATAATATCTTCTGCAGAGGTCTCTGTTATCTTGGCATTCTAAACAACATCCCATTTACCCACTATTGCTGATGATATTTTGCTGATCAGTTCTCATGAGCAGAAAGCAGGAAGGGCTTTATGTTAGCGATAGGTTACAAACTCCATAAAAATTTTAGGAGTTCACAAACTCAGTGAAATTTTTGAGATGTTAAGGGTGAGAGAAAAATGGATTCACCTTATACCACCAAGCAACAGAAAGACACACAATACTAGGTAGATTTTTGCCTTTTGGATTCTTGATGTAATATACCTAGTTAAATAGTTATGATAGCTCTTACTGTGTAACCTGTAAATTGTTATTTTTTTGATACTGGGGATTGAACTCAAGATCTTGTGCTTGCGAGGCAGGTGGTGGAACCACTGAGCTAAATCCCTGGCCCAGTTGTAAATTGTTAATTTTGAATGAGGATCAAGAGAGAGTTCTATAGCAGTGAAAGCTTGTTTTTCACTCTGGCTTTATGAAGCAGCCAGTCCAATTTTGTTTGAAAAGCCTGTTTAACATAAGAGATACTCTATGGTGCCTTTGGAAAGCACAAATAGGAGAGTTACAG